AAGAGAGAGAGAGAAAGAGAGAGAGAGAGGGAGAGAGAGAGAGAGAGAGAGAGAGAGAGAGAGAGAGAGAGAGAGAGAGAGAGAGAGAGAGAGAGAGAGAGAGAGAGAGAGAGAAAGAGCGTTCGGAAATTTCAACGCGTATCAACGGGCCTTTGTGAGAGAATTAAAATTTTGATTTCATAATTTCGGTTACATTCGTCGCGGGGGAAAGCAAATTCTGACCTGGAAACACCATTGCGCCTCGCGCCGCCCTTTCGACGTTTTACAATTCAATTAATTGCCGAAAAATATCGGTGTGGATTTTTCTTCGACGCTCCCTCATCCGTGATACGTAAACAGTTCCCAGTGGGACGAATTCGTGCTCGGAGCTATTTGAAATGAAACTCGCGCAACTTAAGGTCTCCGGGGGATCTTTGCTCGGCTTATAGTAATTATCCAGGCTCCAATATGGTATACACATACTTTCCTAATTTACGTGCGCCCCGAGGTCGACGACTGAATTGTCTTTCCGGTTTGAATATTTTACACGGGGCACACATTCGACGAACAGAACGTTCGCCGCAGAATTACACGCACCATTCAACAGAAATGACATCGCGAGTCGGAAAGAGCTCGCGCTCTCGTATCAAATATTGCAGCAGAACGTTGCAGCAAGACTTCTGCGGGTATGATCGTATCGAACTACCGCGTTTCTCCGCGTACTTCGCTTTTTTACCAAAGAGAGCGAAATAAAGTAAAATAGAACATGTTTCAATTGTGAGTCGCGATTCGATAAATACAATTTTGAAGTAACTTTGAACGTTACGTTGCAGAGAAATAAGAACCGTCGCTAATCGTCGTAAAGTATATCCCGGTACAACGCGGAGAAAATTACAGCGGCGAGCTCTGCTCTCGCGAAAGATAATTTTTACACACGCGCGCTCCAACTCGTAACGCGATTCGTGCGTGCCCGTAATTTTCACGCGCAATTTCGGTTATAAATAAATAAATGCTATGTGCGAAATCGCGACTTCGCGTTGCCGCGCACGGAGATTTTTGCATAGCACAGCCGTAAGCTCAAAGAACTTTCTCCATTAATAATTCCCGTTGAGGCAGGCGTGTGCCACCGGCATAAATTGCGATTCCGAGAGCCTCTCCATATGTTTAATATGGCACATACCTCCCTGTGTCGGCGTCAAATGACCTCGCATTGCTTCCATCATGGAATCTTGCGCGGTGTTCAAAGGGCGAAAAGACTTTAATCTTGGGCGGTGATGCAATTAAAAAAAAGCCGTATGCAAATGACTAGGCCTTTTAAAGGGTCTTCAAAGGAGTTGGAGGCGGCGATGTTGCAGCGGCAGCGCCAGCAAGCAAGCAATATACGCGCGACAACTTTCGTTTGATCAAAGGGGCTACGTTGTGACTGCCAATGAAACCTGCCCTTTGCAGCCTTCTCAGCGCGACCTATTCTATGGTGAAGTTTTCAGTAATTTTTACCGTAGTTACCTTCCATTTTTCTCGGACGGCGAGAATTTAAACTATACGAGGGATCGGGAAAAAAGGACACTCTCGAGACTATCTGGCGAAGTTTGTCCTTTGAAAAGAATGCCCCACCTTGTGCTTTCTTAGGCTGCTAGTAGATTGAAAGAAAAATCATTCTTCGCAAAATTGATTGTGTGATGCGTTGGTCGCTGGTTGGTCGCGCAATCCTTCTTTTCTCAGGACGTTTTATCATGGACGTATTAGAAATACCGTTTTTAGGTAAAGTCAAGGGATAAATTTACGGGACATTTGCACATACGTGCAGGAGTGTTTTTAGATAAAAGAGAAAAGACCACACCTGAGGAATTCACTTTCCCCGATCAATTATCTTAATCGAAGGCAGCAAAGGAACTTTTTGCTCTTAATACACAGCGCGCTAAAGTTTTCTAATTCAGTATCCTTGTTGTATCAGACTGTGCCTCAAAGAGTTGAGCCAGAGAGAGAGAGAGAGAGAGAGAGAGAGAGAGAGAGAGAGAGAGAGAGAGAGAGAGTGCATATTGAAATCTTTATTAAAATCTTTTATCTGTGATCTGTAAGAAGTTCTCCCGGGATAAGTAGTCTACTTTTCCCGAAGTTGTTCAGGATTCTCGGGGGAGTCTTTTGACGATTTCCTTTCTTACATTCTCTTCGGTCTCTCCTCTTTTCATTTTTTAACAATTCTCTACTCGGTATTATACCGTTCCGTTGATACCTTCTATCGCAATCCACTATCGTATTCACGTACTTAACAATCGCATTTCATGCGAGCACTCGTAGCGAGTAATCCATTTGTGGGCGGCGTATTCTTAAGCCAGAAATTTCTCCGTCGGTGCTTTTACGGTCACATAGAGTCGTGGTCGTCGTCGTCGTCGTCGTCGTCGTCGTCGTCGTCGTCGGCGACGGCGGTGGCGGGGGCAGCAGCAGCAGCAGCATTTAACATTCCCTTAGCAAAAGATCCGCATCGCGAGACGTGAAACTTGAAACGTCTCGCCGGTACTTTGTTGCGGTACACCGCGGGATAATGCGATAGCGCGTTGATAATAATAATTCGGTCAGCGTTGTTATACACTCAGCCGTAATCAGTGTTCGTTCTACGCCGGCAATACTCGCAAGAGCGATAAAGCTGTTGAGTGCGACTTTGTACATCGTCATTGCGCTGATATCGGGCAAATGCGTTTACACGCCGGGGGATTACGCGATTAACAATATTACTGCGACCGTGCACGCGGCGGGTATCGCGTCCTGCGTAATCTTCGGCCTAAGCGGTAGAATATTCCGATTCCGAGCGAGATCTGTAAATTTTGCTGATTTCGAGGTCGCTGCCGCAAATGCCATTTGGCGCTTTCCAGTCGAGGTCGTAGTCACTAGTAATATTCCGAGACACGAATAATTCCTCGTGAGATTACGCCATGCTAATTATAAACCCCTCCAATTGTATCGACCTCCGTATTATTTTAAGAGACTCCCGCAGACGCGTAGCTCGACATGAGTATTATTATTAAATAATATTTATCGCGGTGTATTATACTGTGTGTAACCGGAGGGTTCCCGATAGTTTACAGTTTGCCCATGAAATATAAACACGGATCTTTACGCAAGGGTATATATATATATATAATCACAGTTTCGGCTGTGTTAGATTAACGAACTTGATTTAACGAAATTTAATATTTATGCAATCATTGGTAAACTGGAGTGCTTCTATCACGCTCTGATTATCGATCGTCCGCCAATTGATTCGGTGACGCTTTTCGCGGTAACATCGATAGAACAGCGCTTTCGTCGTTTCGCATCGGGCATTATTAATCAAACTTTGTGATGGAGTTAAAAATTCAGGAGCCTCTTCCGCGTCGTTCGGTTGAAATATGCAAACACGATCTCGTCACGTCCAAAATGCATAGAAATGTTGCGACCACGCCGCGCGATTCTATCTCGCCGAGTGGCTCTCGGCTGCGGGTTCGCGTACGCGAGCTTTTCGCGCCCGATGCGAATCTCGAAACTTTGGTTTCTTCTCCTTCTTTCTGACGAAAGCCCATCAGACTTTCGTGAAGCGCGAGTTAACGACGCGCGGGAAGAATCGACGGAAGTGTGCGAGTCGTCGAATAAAACATTTTCTCGCGGCGCGGGCGGGCGTGCGCGGCTTGTCGCCAGTGAGTTGTACTGCCTGAATTTTCCATGAATTAGCTAGAACGGTGGGTGTGGAGAATTTCAATTGTTCCGTGCACCGGATGCTTTAGTTTAACGTGAAGCTCGAACATCGTTGCGCGATATCAGATAAACAGATAGGCAGTTGGGAGACAGGAACGCGGAATCTGCGACTGCAGTCGCGAGAAAGGAATCGGAGAAAAAGACACAAGCGCTGTGTGTGTGTGTGTGTGTGTGTGCGTGTGTAATCGCCCAGAAAGAATTTCCGAAGGCAACTTTATCCGCATGTGGCTTAATCCGCAGTACTGCTCTAATTAGGAAAGGGAAAACTACGCAAGGATTTTAATTACCGGGCGTTTCTCGTATCGCGTTTCAGTCTGCGTCCCGCCAGCGCGGCATCTTCGAAAATCCATTATCTTGCCGTGCCAGCTTATGACGTTTTATAGATCGTTATATAGCGGAGCGCTTCAACTTATCCATTATCGAGTCGTAACGGTGAATAGCGGGAGCCAGGGAAACCGCAACCGCAGGCAGAGTTTCGTTCGCCGCAGTTCGGAGGAACAGTCGTTCCCGGCGAACCTACTGCTTCCGGCGGTATCATCGCCGAGCTTCGTACGGAATCGTTCGGAGCCTTAACGTTTCCTTGACACGCGACGTCACTTAAGATGCTGCCGTGTATTGCAGTCCGTCTTATTCTACGCTGCACTGATAAATTACAGAGCGAAACGGCAAAATATATCTCTCGACCCTTCGGCGATTCATCGAGAAGTGGGCGATTATCTCTCTCTCTCTCTCTCTCTCTCTCTCTCTCTCTCTCTCGCAATGCTCGAGATCAAGCGATCATAATTCTAGCTCGTTTTCGTTGATTGAGCAGGAGAAAAGATAATAAAGCGGGCCGCCTGAAAAGAGACGTAAGCTTCTCGTGCCGTAACAGCGTCTACCGCTTGTTATTATTTGCCGTACTATTTGTCCGGCCCTGCCGATTTTCGCGTTTTACATCAGCGTCTTTTCGTGTGTATGTGTGTGTGTGTATGTGTGTAGTGGCTACTTGTTAGCGAATGCATCGATAGCTGAGTCTTCCGTTCCAAAATTCCGCAAGTCCCGACGGAGCAGGAAGTCACAGCGCGAGAAGGAAGACCGGTTGCACGACGTGCCCAAATATAGTCTCGATTTATCCGTACGCTATCGAGAAACTTAGACGCGTCACTGTCGACCAGTCTTTACGTGTTGAGTTGAATCGAACTGCCGTCGCTGAGCGAACGACGGCGTGTCACTTGGCGAGCGCGACAATGTCGACGGCCCGATCACGCTCGACTGTACGCGACGTATACATAGTCGATTTTGTTCGTTCGCAGAAAGGGAGGTCTGGTATGAAGCGGCGACGAGGGCGATCGAGGCGCGGATCAGGGCGGCCGCGAGTTCCAGCGTCAGCGGCACGACGCCGCCGGCCGGGGTGGCGCGAGGCGTCATCCTCTTCGTCGGCGACGGCATGGGGATGAGCACCCTCACGGCTGCGAGGATTCTCTCGGGTCAACGTCACGGGAACCCGGGCGAGGAGGCGCAGCTAGCGTGGGACAGCTTCCCGGCGGTGGCATTGGCGCGGGTGAGTACGTGAACAAGAACGAAGAGAATTCTTCCTTCCTCTTCTCCTTCTTCTGTTTATTCTTTTTTCCTCCTCGGCGCCGTACCTGCGCTGCTGCGGTGACGCCGCACGTAAAACCGACGCTTTATGTGCGCCAAATTTCTCGGGAACTATTGGCTCTCGGAGCACGCAAATTACCGGTTCGGTCGCGGCGCACGTAAAACCTCACTCTTTACGTGCGCCAAATTTGCGGCGAACCGAAAATTGAAAAATGCCCTCTAATAACGAAAGCAACATTCGCTCCGCGACGTACGCACGCGCGAGCGTTCTTCTCGTATGTGCGATAATTGTGTAACAAGGGAAACTTTCATCGATTTGATCACCGTTTCGTTCTCGATTCTGCCTGTACGATAGTCTGCATGTTGTACGCACGAAGTATCTTCTCGCACAGGGCGTTTAATGATAACATAACAAAGCTCTCATCAAGACTTGTAAATTAGATGAAAATGAAGCAAAAGTTGCTCTACCATTTTGCAAACGATCACGTAAAATTTTCAGTTATTAATTTGAAAACTGAGAGGGGACTTGCGCGCTGTCTGTTGTGCACGCTCGTAGATTAAAGTCAAAAGGAACAAAACACGGTCCTCTACCGTTCTGCAAAAAAGAGAAACACGTAAACGAAAAATTCTGTCTTATTAATCCATAGAAGGTTGCTGTACAATCGTGCGCAATTTCATTCACACATGTTTTTTAATTGATAACTTAACATTTTACATGGTAATTCGCGGAATGGTAGAGGAACATTTTGTTTAGTTTGATCTAATCCGCGCGTACGCGGCAGTTTTATACGTTCGTATCGTCAGACATCCTGCATAAACGCATCTTACTTCAAGTTGAGATTCTTTGACGAATCCTGCCGTAGCGGAAATTGGATCGGTCGACGAGAAGCTTATTTTTCAGAACTTAATTTTTCGCATGAAATAACTTGACGACTCGCGCTTCGAATTAAAATTCCATTTAAGTCCACGCGCGGAATCAAATGGTGGAGGGAAGAGATTTCGCTGTCCATTCGCGCGCTCACTCTCTCACTGACGGATCAAACTTTCGTACTCGATCGTTTCTAATTAAAAAACTATCATCCTCAAGAGCTTCCCCCTTGATTTTGGTCTCTGCCGACGGCGGCAGAGCTCGAAGCTCGTTACGCGATACTTGCCACTAACCGCATTGTCTAAGCGGATCATATCGCCACAAGCTATCGCACGGTGTTGTTCCTTTTATCGTATTCCCTTTTTTTGCCCTGATCACGGCGCGGATAACTCCGAGAAATTGCTGATGCTCGCTCGTAATAAGCGGCGTGTATGCGCTCGAAGGAAATATCCAATGTGCTGAATTCACTTCGTTAAGGCAGCGCAGGATATTTGCATGCAAATTTAATCGAAATGCGTGTACACACATTTCTACGTGGATTACAGATTGCATACGCGTATTCGCATTTTAATTAAGCTTTCGCGGTCAAGCGCTGGCGCGCGTCTCCGCCTTCTTTTTCTCTGTCTCTGCCTTCTTTTTTCTTCTTCTTCTTCTTCTTCTTCCTCACATTCTGCCCGTCGCGTCGTTCACCGACATCTCCTGCGCCGCGAACTGCAAACGGATATCGCGTTAAAAATTCGCGTCGCGCTTAGTTATCGCTTAGTTAATAATAACGTAAAACGAGTCGCTCCTGTTTTATCAGGGATCTCGTCTCCCCAACTTTTCTAAAGCCGGTCGCTCGATTTTCCCCAACCTGCAGCAGCGTCGGCTCTCTTTCGAATTTTCCTCAATTTTCCCCGGGGGCCAAAGGTATGGCGGTCTGACGGAAACTTTCGCCCGAAGACCCTTCGGAATCGAGGGTGCTGCCTCTATGTTGCTTGGAGATTTGCTTCTTACGGGTAGTCCTTCGCCGTCGTCGCCGGGACGGAATTGTGAAGATTTACGGCGAGTTCTCTCTCCTCTCCGTTCCCGCCGTTGTACATAATCTTAAATGATTAGTTTGATAAAGTTAAAGATATTACCCGGGAGCGGACACTCAAATATTCCCTTTGATCTCGCTGGTAGCATAGAATAATTGTAAGAGAAGGATCTTTTCCATCCCTACTTGTCCTTGTCCTACCCCTTTGTCGAACGTACTTATTATTCTGGGCACGTTTGCCGCGCCCAGAAAATCGATCTTGGTCTCGCAATTAACGGTGATAAAAGGCGTTTATTCTTTACAATTGTACACGACAGAGGTGTACATGGGTGGCGCGACGCGTGACGTAATTTAATTGAGGGAGAAGGTGCTTTATTTCGCCATAAGACATCTCGCGAATGGGCTCGTAAGCTTCTTCGAGATTCTAAGGGTACTCTTTCGAATTTACCTCATTTAGATGTAAATTAAGTAAGCCGATTTATTTCGCGTGATATATTTGCCACTAGTTTCATAATGAAACGAGAAGCTATTTATCTAAGGAGAAAGAACTGATCCCTCTCGGTGTCTCCAGGATTTAAGTGGTCACACATGTTATCTTTTGCAATTAGTCTCCTGGTATGGTAATAAAATAGGATCTACCGGGATTTAGCAGAATTTGCGATTTCCGGTTGCTCGCACAATGCCTTTTTTTATTCCTCGCTTCGAACACCAGAGTTAACGAGGCGCTTGGAGACTGAGAACAGTTTTGCATTGATATTGCACGACGCAACAATTTTGCAAAACGCTGTTTCCTGGTTTGAGATGAACGCGTTTCTAGGCCCGAAATTACACACGGCATTGCAAGCAATCCACCGTCGAAAGTTGTTTTCTGTAAGGGGATTCAAAACATCCATCACGGATGATATTGGTGTTTGCGCGCGAATGTGTGGCCGAGTATGCGCGTTATCTCTCGCATATTCGCCCGGATTTCTCTGCCACCGTACTGTGTTTCACGTCCGCAGCATCGCCGCGCGTGACCTTCCTGAATTCTTATCGAGAGAATACGTCGAATATGCAAAACTTTTTGCTAGGCAAAGTTCGCGAGGATTTTGCGCGTCGGCGTCCGCATTCATTATGAATCTCGTACTTATTATCCGGTTAGGATGTAACTCCCCTTCTTATTCTCTCGTATCGACGACGGCGAGGACTTCTCGAATTCACGAGAGTCTCAGAAAATGTGCGTAAAAAAGTCACGCGTCATGGTCACGGTGAAAACCTTCGTTTTCCCGATCATCCGGTTAGCGACGTTTGCGATGAAATTCGTAAGAACGCCGCGAGACGCTCGAGAACGTTGTGTGCACTTTCGACTCGCGTGCTTTTCCTGAGCTTAAATTGCTTTTATAGCCAAGTAATTTGTATGAATATCAATCATTTGTCTTTGCGTTATCTTTTGGACGGTGAAGAGCTAATATTTTTCCGCAATTCCGCGCGAGTTGAAGTGGGCAATTTTCGCGTCTGGTGTCCCGCGACGCGCGAAACTTATTCTTTATCTCGTAATTTTTCCCGTCCTTTGTCAAGTGGTATTATCGTTTCTCGCCTCTTTCTCTTTTTCTCTTTTCTTTGCTCTCTCTCTCTCTCTCTCTCTCTCTCTCTCTCTCTCTCTCTCTCTCTCTTTCTCTCTCTACCAATCTTTGGCTTTCCTCTTGAGATGAGACATCTTGAAAGCGCTGTTGGTCGGAAACAAAGTTTCTCGGATGGTCCCTCGGGGATTTTTCCGGAAGGGCTAGCTCCACGTTGATAGGGGACTTGTTTATTTTCGTGTTAGCAAGACATGTGTGTAATAAGCGACGATTTATAAACGAAAGCAAAGTACAAGGCATACGTGCAAATATGTGTTCTAAAACACTATATTTAGCTTGAAACCGAGGAGTTTGCTCAGTGCTCAATTACTGAGACTAAATTTGCACAGCGTAATACGTGGATTCTGTTTTCTCGTAATAAATGAAGAATCTCCCTCCCTGCTCGCGTTAACAAACCAGTGAATTGTTTCCATTGAATAATAACAATTCGTCTTGATAATCTTGAGTCGAAAAGTTATTTCTCGATCATTTAGAAGCGCGTCCTGCCAACGAGTGCCTTCGTGATCTACCCAATCCGAAAGGAAAATATTTTTCTAACATTTCGGACGTTTTATCTATCGGCCCGATATGATACGATATGTTATCGTATTTAATTTGTAATATTTCTTTACATTTTCTATAATTCTATATAACCTCCTATTTAATTCCGATTCGTGAAAAAAGTTTCGTTCCTTTTTATTATCCTGCGTACGTAAACGCTTTCCTCTTTGTACTGTTTTACGTGTATTTCGCATGTCGCTAAATATGAGTCATCACGTTGCGCAACAAAAACACACCGAACTGAAAAAGATATCACGCCACTCGTAATCAGCATTTGGTTTTTCAGGTGTCACTAGCAACACGCGGACGAGTGTCAAAGTTTGAACGCGGGGGACATCAAGCGATTATTAAATTACACGACACCTGCACGATTAGGTACTCGACCTGTGTGCAGTTGGACGGTAACGCGAATCGCCGGTATAACGATTTATCGTCGAAACACCTAGCGTGTGACATTTATCAGGATAATAATTAATTGTGGGTTACACAGGCCCGCTGGACTAATGGCTGATCCGCCGCGGCGCATTAAACCGACATTGATCACGCGCGTATTTGTTATCTTTGAAATCCTTGCGAAATAATGTATAAATCGCGGCGGCTGTGAGTGAGGACTAGCGGCTGTGCTTTCGAAAATACAGCTCGCAGGCTAGATTAGCCGCTGCGGATACCCGACGAAATTAAGGTTCGACTTCATCCCCCGTCTTCAGCCCGCGTGAATTATGTCCGAGGTAATAGACGCTACGATAACTCATTTTGAAGCCTTTCGTGACATCACGTGGCCAGGGATAAATCCTCCATGACTCTTCGTTAACAGAGTTATTAATAGCCGGATCGTTTGGCTGAAGGCGAGCGAGTGTATTTTAGTGTGTTAGTGCGATCTGCCGTGAAAAGATCGCGCGACTGATTAATATCGTCAC